AGGATTATAAGCATGAGCCACTATGCCTGGTTCTTCACTTTAGTAAATAAAGCTACATGAACAATCTTTGTCTGCAAGTGTCTGTGTAGTAGTGGAATTATAGGGTTAAAGGTATGAGCATTTTCAAATTTTGGATAGCCTGTTTTAAACTGCTTTCTGGGTTCTCACTGGTTCTTCTGAATGCACCAGCCTGATCCCTCCTAGCACTCAGTCTTAATATTAGTGACGATTTAGTAAGATTCAGAAGAGGCAGTCACTGTTTGTTTTTGTGCATCTTACAGTGTTAATGCACTGATGCCTAATATAAAGGGGTAACTCACCCAAATAAAAATGGCAAAACAATTGGAATTTTTTTTAGTTATAAGTTTCCACTCCTACACATATACCTGAGAGAATTGTAAACATATGTTCACATAAAAACTTCACACATGGCAGCATTATTCATAAAAGCCAAAAGGTAGAAGCACCTCAAATGTCCATTAGTGGACAAATGGACAAACAAAGTGTGATGTGTCCATTGAATATTTTTCAGCCATAGAAATGAATGAAACACTGACACATATTAAACATGTATGAACTTGAAACCACTGTGCTAAGTGGAAGAAGCCAGACATGAAAGGCTACACGGCATATGATTCCATCGATATGGCATGTCCAGAGAGGGCAGATCCCCAAAGACAGACAGGGTCAGGGTGGGAAAGACTGGAAAGTGACAGAGAATGGGTATGGATTTTTTTGCATAGGGTAAAAAGTATTCTAGAATTAGACAGTGGTAAGTAACAGTTGCATGACCTTGTGAATAGACCAAAAACCACTAGAGATTATAAATCAATTAAAAATGGTGAATTTTATGTGACATGAATTACATCAGGACTTAAAAATGTTAAGGGCTTTAGGCTTGGCACCTGTAGCTCAGCGGCTAGGGCACCAGCCACCTACACTGGAGCTGGCGGGTCCGAACCCAGCCTGGGCCTGCCAAACAACAATGACAATTAAAACCAAAAATAGCTGGGCGTTGTGGCAGGTACCTATAGTCCCAGCTACTTGGGAGGCTGAGGCAAGAGAATCGCTTGAGCCCAAGAGTTGGAGGTTGCTGTGAGTTGTGACAGCACAGCACTCTACCCAGGGCAAGAAAGTGAGACTCTTGTCTCTAAAAAATAAAAAGTGTTAAGGGCTTTAAAAATACCGTATGAGTTATTTATAAGTTATCTTACCTCTTGAGATAAATATCCTTTATACCCGCCTCCAAAGAAAGAACAATACATGTTAGTTAAAACTTCAAACAAAATAATATATTTTTTTAAAAAAAGATCTCTTCTTTCTCAACTTCTCCAAATTCTCAGAGGTAGCCACTGTTTAATAGTTTTGGATCTATTTTTGAGACTTTCTTACAAGCAGGCAAGAAATACACAGGCTTTTTGTTTTGCTTACAGAAAATAAGAAAGTGTTAGTCATGTTTCTGAAGGACATTTTTCTAAAGGCTTCTCATCTGATCAGGATTTACTCACAAGTAGTTTTCTCCTTCCTCTTTGTGTAGGGCCTTAGATGAGAAATTTAATAACAGGTGCTTGGGTGGCACCTGTGGCTCAAGGAGTAGGGCGATGGCCTCATATGCCAGAGGTGGCGGGTTTAAACCCAGCCCCGGCCAAAAACTGCAAAAATAAATAAATAAATCAATAAAACAGGTGCTTGTTTTAAGCAGGTCTAGTAGGAGAAAGGAACCTATACATAACTGTCACAAAATAAGATATGAACATAGTGGTAGCAAGAGAGAGTGGTCCCAGTGATGGTAAACACCAGGTGTGCGTAGCCCTGTGCTAACAATCTTGACTATCAGCTAAAGCCCCCCGGCCGTCTCTTAAGGACAAGTTAGGAATGGGGTTGGAGAAAAGCATTTATGGAATGAGAAATGCAGAGCTTTCATCTCATAACTGAAAGTTTTCTCCTCCAGGGAGAGGAAGAAAGTTAGTCTTAAATTTCAGAGCTCCTTCTTTGATAATTTGACATGTCCTGTGAGGGCCTCCGAAAGGGATTTGTGCAGGCAGACTCAGATGTGGACATGCTGCTGACTAAAGCCAGACTCTGCCTTCCAAACAGTGAATCAGACAGCTCGCTTGTCCTGTTTGGAAGGTGCTGGAAATCCCATGTGATTTAATCAGTAGGAATTAACTGGCTATATGAAGAATTTTGCCTTCCTGTATGGACTCGAAATCAACTGTCAACATAGCAAAGAAAAAAAAAAAAAAAAGAAGTCTTTTAAAAGTGGAAAACCTTCCCTTCTTGGTAATTTTTTAATTTTATTTAGCAGCCCCAGAGTTCATGAAATGTGCTATTTGGGCTATTAAAACTCTAAACCCAAACTTGTAATTCTCTATGGTCTACAACAGCTGCAAAGCAGGACTGAGAAGCGTGCTCTGGTTGGCTCTGACAACAGGGCTCTTGCACAGAAGGCTGCCTTGTGCTGAGATGGCTCTCTGCAAAGACCTGTTCTTTTATATTACAGCAAATTAACCTGAGCAGCCCTCTAAGTAGCAGGAATTTGTGTCCACACATGAGGGCTGTGTAACATATTACCAACAGGGTGGCAGGTAGTATGTGCCATACTTTGAGCTCTGTAGTTGTAGACTAGGGAAGAAGGAAGTGGCTCAGTATGTTCTTGAACTTGTCACTTGATGGGCCCATTGCTTTCATTTTCTAGAGAGAAACCAAAGAGACAAAATGATAGGGATAGGATCTTATGATTAAAAGGAATTCTTTTTATAAGACATTTAGCCTTGTGCTCCCACTTCTTTCCCTTCTGAGAGTTTCTTCATTAAGAGGAGCACAGCAGTTCTGCTTAACTCAGTTGCTCACTCCTATTAAATACTGCTGAAAGCTTCCACTTACTGAAGCTCACAGCTCAGCGTCCATGGCTCAGTGGTTAGGGCGCCAGCCACATACACCAAGGCAGGCAAGTTTGAACCCAGCCCGGACCAGCTAAACAACAATGACAACTGCAACAACAACAAAAAAATAGCCAGGCGTTGT